TGTCTACATAAGTCTAATAGAAACTGAGAGAAAGAGAAAAAAAAAAAAAACGAGGAAAGAAAAAAAGTCAACAGCCAAAGTTATCAATTTATCAGTGAATCTCGAAAATAGCCCGGTTTTTTCTTGTTCTTTGTGTCGTGCCTAATCCATTTTTTTTCCAAAATAGTTGGTGGAGATCTGGGGACAATGGAGCGGGACAGAGAGGGAAGAGAGAACAATGATTGGTTTTGTAAACAAGTTTTGAGTGACCGCGAAGTCATCTTCAAATTCGGAAAAAGGGAGCGAGTGGTCTGGAGAGTCCGGTTCAAAATCAGAAGAGTAAGACTCAACAATCATTGAGCTGAGCTTAGGCAAACCTAGCTCCAATGAGTCAAATACATTGTCTGGTCCCGTTTCAGGAAAGAGGAGGAGCTTGGAATTTGGGGCCGAAGAAGAAACCAAGCCTAATAAGGAGGGGTTAGGTGGTCTTGCCAAGAGGAGGTGTCAAGTCCGGAGGAGTCAAGTCGGATTATTCAAAGTTGAAATGGAACTTAATCCTATAGTTTTCCAATTTCTAGTTGTTATTGTTATTATTATTATTATTATAAAAAATTGTTGTTGTAAATTTATGTATGGATGGTGTACTGTGGGTTATATGAAAAACAATTGATTGAGTTTGAATATTTAAGAATTAATCTTAAGTGCACCAAAGAATTAGAATCTTGAGTTTTAAAATTTAAGGCAACGCTAAAAGTTGAGATTGGAATGCTTAAAATTTAAGCCGGCTATGAGTAGTGGTAATTGTCTATATATGCTTTGTTTAGTAAGCATATAAGATAACTTATAACTTATTTGAGTGGCTTTTACTGGCATGGGATAAGAGTTATCACTTGATTATAGTGGAAGTAGATAATAGCAGCATGGTGAAGGCGGTACTGCAAATCGACGATGTGGTGCTACCAGGGATTCACTGTAGCATTATCAAGGGAATCTGAGAGCTATTGGCCAGAGATTGAAGAGGGGAGGTCCGCCACATCTATCGAGAGGAGAACTTTGCAGTAGAATATCTTGCTTCGGTGGCCTCGACCATGCCAAGTGGGCTACACGTTCTTGACGACCCACCCGCAGGGGTAAAATCGTGGTTATACCATGATATCTTAGGGGCTTCTTATCCTCGTAACATTATCGCCTAAGGCTTTCGCCTCCTTTTTTGTACCAAAAATAAAAAAATAAGCATATAAGATAATTTATAACTTATTTGATTATCTTTTATATTTTATGTATTCAAATAATTTTGATTTGGTATGACGAACTTTTTTAAAAAAAAAATTGAGCCTATGTCATAAGCTCTTTGGGTATTTTTCAAATAATTCATTGAACCCATTAAAAATTTTATTTTAGCTATCTTATCAACTAATTTTACCAATACTTTTATTATATAAGATAGTTTTCCAATCATATGTCATAAGCTATAAGCTTAAAATCAAATTAAAAGTTATAAGTTAGCTTATCAACTAGGTTTTCCAAACATAGTCACCCAATTGATTTGGGCACCAAATCTTTCTAGTAACTATTTTATTTGAGTAAATTGTTATTAAGGACAAAATAGTAACACATAAAAATATTTAAAAACAAAAATTATTTAAATTAAAAGAAAAACATTTTGAAGATTAAGCAACACGAGTTTGGTAGATTTTATTAGAACGGGCTTGACTCACTCCAATCGAACTGTAAAACCCAAGTGTTCCAGTTCGATTCAACTCTCCTCAAGAAGTTTGTTGTATTCTTACTGCATGGCGTTGACGATCGATGATCATCATTTATCTTTATTTTTAGTTTAACTTTCTTCACCTTGATATATTTTTCACATCGAGAACCATCAATAAATTGGGTCCATTTTGATTTATGTCGATATAATATATTTTAAACAATCTGGACGGCCCAAATTTGATCATAAAATACCTCCGAAATAAAGTTATAACAAAAATTAAGGTACTAAAATCAGTTATTATTCCAATCCAATCGGTTGGACTCAACTCAACCAAAAAAATAAAAATTCTCATCTTTGGAATTGGTAGGGAAAAAAAAAAAGACTAAAATAAAATTTACCACAACATATTTCTATGATTATTCTAAATTAAAAAATAAAAAAATCTGGAAAGACTCACTTTTCTTTTATTATTTTTCCTTTTTCGTCTTTTATTTAAAATGGGTAAAATACTTTTTCTCATCCGAACTATCACGAGTTTGGCGCATCACCATATAAACTATTTTTTTTTTACAAACCACCATATGAACTATACGGTTTTGTCAATGTGCCCCCTAAACCAGATATAAAAGTGGTTTTGACTGAAAAAGTTGTTTGGTCACCATATGTGCCCCCTAAATACTTTTACAAACCACCATATGAACTATCACGGGTTTGTCATTGTGCCCCCTAAACCACTTTTATATCCGGTTTAGGGGGCATATTGACAAACTCGTATAGTTCATATGGTGGTTTGTAAAAAAGTATAGTTTATATGGTGATGCGCCAAAACCGTGATAGTTCGGATGAGAAAAAGTATTTTACCCATTTAAAATTGGTATCAACATCAAAAGATTATCTCGGACATCAGTACTGATTCGAATCACTTTGAAATATTAATCAAATAATTATAAATGATATTATAAAGATTCAATAAAATCCCCTCTATTGACTATAAAGAGTATGATCAAACAATAATAATAATAATAATAATAATAATAATAATAATAATAATAATAATAATAATAATAATAATAATAATAATAATAATAATAATAAAAGTATGATTTTCCACTTAAAAGTGGAGGGTCAAAAATTCGAAATTGCCCCTAATTAAATCCAAATCCAAATACAAATCACGTCCTTTTTGACTTTGCAAATTTTCCAAAAGATTTAGTCATAATTTTTCATATTATGTACTTCAATTAAATAATATCTCCACCCAAGAGCGCTTGGATGAGATGGCGTAAGTCTCTTCCAACTTATTCAGTGGTCTCGTGTTCGAGCCCTGGGAATACAGCAGTGTTAAAAACTCTTGAGGGAGAGCTTTGCCGCCCTTGTGGTCCTACTCGGCTGGATTCCAGATTAATCGATTCCCCTGTGGATCCAGAAATTGGAAGGTCCCGGTAAAAAAAAAAAAAAAAAAAAAAAAAAAAAATCTCCAATATCATTAATATTGGTAGAGTGAAATGCATGTCACCATGACACCATCTTTCCTTCCTTCCTTTATTGCTGGTTATGACTTATCTTCCAATATTTAATGTCCCCAAATTTTAAATCCCAATTTACCCTCCTGAGAATTCCATTTAATAATTACTTATTGTTAGTTATTTTTTTCCTCCCAATTTATACATCTATATATATATATTAAAAGCAAACCTATTTATCAAAAATAGTAGCAAGAAAAGTCAACACGCATTTAATGCATACCTTATTTAGAAATTTTTTAATATATGCATTAAATGCTTGCATATTTACATTTATTATCCAGATATGATCTTAAATATTTTTTCCTTGAACAATTTATGCAATAATTTTACTGATATTCATTATAATTAATATTTGTCGAGTAATATTTTTTAACCTTTATTTAATTATATAAAACTAATATTTTTTTAAAAAAATAATATTATTTATCATTTAAAAAATAATGATCACATCATTAAATGATTTTATTGATAGTTAGATAATAAAATTATATTAGTTATTCTTTAAAATATTTACTAAAATAAAATCGGCTTAAGAAAAAAAAATCTCATAACATCCGATAAGTAAAAAAAAAAGTACGTAAAATCTTTACTAAAATAAAAAAAAACTTTATTTATTTGTCTTATTCCATAATAACATCAATTTAGTCAAAACAAATCCCATAATCGGTGAAGTCAAAAAATGTACGTAAAGCCTATTTATACTAAAAAAAGGCAGATTCAAAATTCATTATCTAATTTCTGTTTAAAGCATTTTATTTAATATTTATTTATATGAATATTGGATAGGATTGCTGGATCTGAGTCAATTTTGAAATCGCGTTGTTTGGTATGAGAGGATTATCCGCATCCTATATCTGTCTAAAGCATATTATTTAATTAATTTATTTAATATTATATTTTTTTATCCATGATATCATTTTTGTCAAAAAAATTGAACAAACAAACAAATAAAAAAGAAACGGGATAATTACCTTCGACTTGTAAAAAATTTATGGGTGGACTTAAATATTTAACAATGCTGTTTCAAGTTCCTTAAATAATACTATAACTACGATGTTCAAATATAATCTGTTTTATGAGTGACGTAAATATGCTGTTTAAATTTTCCTAAAATAATTTTTTAAAAAAATTATGATGTTTAAAGTTCCTTAAATATTAATATATTTAAAGTATACACATGTTGTAATATATTAAAGTCAAAACAATGTTGGAAGGCTTTTGAATTATCTAAGTTAATTAATTTAAATGTTTAATCCCATTAAATCTTCAATCCATGGAATATTTTTACTAATCCCGTGAGCATGTTGTTTTGTTATTGTAATCAACTTATACACTATTTTACTAATAAATTATTTAATATCTATGTATAAGGAAGTCTTTAATAATATATGATTTTTTTTTTGTCAGATATTATTTTATTGTATAATTTTCCTACGTACTATACAACTTTTATTGAATATTGTATCTTATAATATAATATTCCCTAAATAAATATATCCCGTGTCTCGCACCGGTCCCGTACTATATATATCCCGCACATTTTTTTATTCATTTATATAATTATAAGGATGAATAAATAATAACCTTAAAATTGTGCACCCCGTGCATCGCACGGGCTCTGTACTAGTATAAAGAGAAAACTTATTTACCAAACACAGTAATAAAAAAAGTCAACCAACATTTATTACATTCTATTTTTTACAGTTTTTGAATTTTATTTTTAAATTATTTCCAAAAAAAAAATTGATCTTGCTATATATGCATCTTAAATTCATTGGTTTTGCGGATTTTTAATTTAGGTAAATTTCCACAGATGCTTAAAATTTTGTAAAAGTCAAAGTTCTATCATTTTTTAAACAAAATACTATAACATGTATCTTTTCTTAATTGTAACAGATCAATTGTTTATTATAAAAATTACATAGAAATCGAGTTAATTTAGGTAAAATTCGACGTGACAATTTTGTAACAGTCAAAATTCTCTTATTTGTTTAAAACACATAAGCTCTCAAAATCTACCCTTTACCTACAACAAATCATGGGTATTAGTGTCATTTCACACCATATCACAAAAACACACACACTAGTTAAAAGAAATGGTCCAACTGGAGCCCAACCAGACAAAACCCCAAAACCTTGAAAACTGAAACACACTAATGTCTACTTGTTTGTTCTCATTCAGAATACATTCCCCAAATAAACCCATACTCTTCCTCTGCTCCAAAACACCAAATAATATAAAAAAAAAAAACCATCTGCAATTTTGCTCTATTTTCTTCCCCAATAAAAATAAAAATATATATTTTTCCACAATAAATTCCAAGCAAAAAGAATGACCAAGATTCGAGGATATATTACAATTTGTCACACTTCCTCTTTTCTCATTTGATTTGCTAGCAAAACATTCTTACTTTTTTCTTTTGTTTTCTTAGATTGAGCTGGGAAAAAAAAAATTATTATGGATTTGAACGAATTCCGTTCGTTTATATTGGAATCAGGGCTAGATATCTGGACGTGGATCGACATGTCTATATCGGTTGCCTGTGCCGATCACGAAAACGAGCTGAAAACTCGGAGAGACGGAATCATTCAGAGGCTCTACGCACCGGCATTTTCCGGGTGTCGGAATTGCGATAACGGGTTGTCGAAGGGTTCGAAGTGCGATTTTAAGGAAGTTGAGGGGTGCCAGCAGAAAAAGGACGATGTTGGATTTGAGAGTGTAGAAAGAGAAGAAGAAAAAGAAGTTGAAGATGATGAAGATGATGATAATGATGAGAAGAAAGAGATTCTTGAAATTAAGACACTTTTAGATGATGAAAACCAGGTTTCATTTTTTTATGTTTTTCAAATTGATTTTTATTTATTTATTTATTTATTAATGTGTCTGAATTTTTATTTTATGTACCAAAATTAATGTGATTTTACAGAGTGAAGGGTGTTTGATTGAGCTGCTGCAGAGGCTTGTGGGGATGGAAACTACATTCCAAACTCTTAAGGTGAAATTGGTAGAGATTTATTAATTTTATGGGAGATGTTACAACCCTTTACGGAACCATTCCGTTGGGTTTGTAACGGTTAGATCAACTATTTTCGACGATACAAATCTCTACGGAATAGTTTTATAACGGGACCGTAACATTTTCCTAATTTTATATATTTTGTTTTGTATAGTTGAATTCCACAATTGTATTAATTTATTTAATTATTATTTATATATATATATTTTATTTTTTTTTAATTAGGACACGGACATTGGAAGGCATGCGAGTAAACTGAGAAAGCATTCTTCTAATGAAGTGCGCAGGCTGGTGAAAATTCTCGTCAGGTTCGTAATAATAATTATTAATGATATTAAAAGGGTTAAAATGAAAAGTATTGAATTGAAATAGAATTATTTAATTTTATTTTTGGGAGATTGTAAGATCACCTTACGGAACTATTCCGTCGGAGTTTAAGATCAACTATCTACGACGGTTACACGATTATCAAACATTTACAAATCCCGACGGAATTGTTTTCGTAACGAAACTATAGCATTTCCCTTTATTTTATTTAGTCTTTGATTTGTGATTGCTGTTACAGAAAGTGGAAGGATATTGTAGATGAATGGGTGAGACTGAATGCACCTATTGATGAAGAAGCCACTCAATTAAATGGTAAATAAAATAATTTAAAATTAACTTTTGCAATTTTTTTTTTCTATATATTAAATGGATTAATAAATTGAGTATTTATTTTATTGACTTTATTATTATTTTATTTTTTTTCAAGCAGATGATAAAGTTTCGCCTGAGGAAGCACAAAAATCTTCTGTTTCTTGTTATTCAACTCCACCAAAGGTCAGAATTTTGCAGATTCTAAGACTAATTAGGGAAATAGTTAATTACAAAAAAAAAAAAAAATCATTTTAAAAATTATATTTTTTTCCTGTTATTTTATTTAGGTAATTATGGTAAAAAAAAAAAAAATGTTTCCTTAGTTCTTATTTTGGTGACATTTCTGTGGTATTGTTTGTAGGAAAAGGTGAAGTATAATCAGATTAAATCAGATAAATTAGGTTCAGCAAATAAGCGCCTCCATGATCAAATTTCTCAAGAAACTAACCATGGTGAGCCTTTTTCTTTTTTTTTTTTTTTTTTGCTTTATTAAATAAATTTATTATTATTATTATTGGAAAATGCTAAGGTCCCGTTATAAGACGGTACCATTAGAGAAGTCGGTTATGTTGTGTGGATAATCTACGATAACAAACCGTGACGGAACCAGGGACTTTAGCCGTTCCCATTATTATCGTATTATTATTATTTTATTTATTTATATTTTTACAGCCAAAAAAGAGAGGACAGAAATAAGGGACTTTCACAATGTGCAAAAACTGAAAAATGCAGCTCTTAGCAACAATGGAGGCAGTGTCCCTGTGAGAAACTGGTGAATTTTGATATAATATTGTCACCAATTTCAAAGGTAATAACAATTTTTTTTTTTAATTTTTTTTTTTAATTTTTTTGCCTTGATTAAATATATTATCTGGTCTCAAAATCATAGTTACAAGTTATTTTATCATCAACTTTTTGGTCTACATTGGATTTGTAATATTAATAATAAGAATCTAATATTGTTGTTAATTTATTGTCAAATTTTCTGGATCAATGTTGGAATTTCTTCACGGGATGGCGTGAGATCTAATTAACCAGTTTAATTAATTTAAAAAAATAAAAAAATTGGGATGTCATGTAATTTTTAATTTATTTATCTTTATCATACATATAGAGCACCTTTTATGACTTATTAGAAGAGTTTTGCAAACAATTCAATTTACAATTTTTTGATACTGTTAAGCAAAATCTAACGGTCAGTTGGTCATACTATTAATCATATTATTTTTAAAGAAAACTACACTTAACCCACCTAAGACCTAACTATACGATTATTTATACTTTATTCACTCAACTTTTTTTCGTGACACTTTGTCCAAAGTGTAAATAAAATAAAAAAAAGTTGAGTGAGTAAAAGTGCAAAGAAACATATAGGTTGGTTGGTAAATTGTAAATTTATCAATGACAATTAACTTAATGAATGGCTAAAAAGTCAACTTTGCCCTTAAAAATTCCTAACGATTGACCGAAAATTGGTTAAGTGTAATTTTTTGCAAAGTTATATTGACATAGTGTCACAAAAATAAATTGAGTGGATAAAGTGCAAAAAACCATATAGTTAGATGGGTTAAGTATAATTTTTCCTTGTTTATAAATTGAAATATCATATTTTAAAAAATAATATAAACAAAAGCACGACATTACACAAGCGCAAACAGACAGTTATGTTGCCTCAAAAAGCAATTGTGTTGTTTAATTCAAATATTAAATGTTCTTTATTTATTTTTTTTTTCAATTTTTTTTCAGAATATGATATTAGCTGTAAATGAGGATATGCTTCAAGATTGGGCTGTCTCTCCAGCAGAAAAAAACAGGTGACTTGGTGTA